TCGATAGAATCTTGACAAAAGCATTCCTCTTGGAACGAGAAGCAGAGAATACAGAATTCTAGAAATCTCAGCAACAAGGAGATTCAATCTTTCGTTTTTACACGTGCTAGCATGTAAACATTTTCTCACAAGACTGTATACAGTAACCAGGTAACATTCAGATCCATAACAGGAGAATTCCCATAGCGTCACCCATGGCACCAACTATCGAGATATCATCGAAAGAGCTTGCTACATACAACTGATTTCGCATTTGCTATTCCAACGTTTCTTAGGGCTATTGCCCGCGATCGATGTAGGTCTCGATTTAAACGACAAGTTTCTTTGAGAATTCCATTTCCATTGGTGCAACATGATAATACCAAACGAGCCATAGTTAAAAAAGATTAATGCGACAAGTTCACATTTTATAAACAACTTACAAAAACGATCACGATAAATGTGCCATTAGAATGTATTTTACTGAGAAAAAATTGGTTGAAAATATGCAGTAAAATTATTTAATTTAATGGTTATAGTTCAAGATATGACGGTAATGGTAAATATAATAAGACGAGTGCACCTTAATGCGAATAGTTAACTGGGTAGGTACTTACATGTGAATAGTTGGCTAACGATGATAATCTACGATTTTGTACCAATAGTCCGTGTCATAAAAATAATCACCTGTCCTATGATCAATAATCAAGACTTCCGGGTTTAATTTGTGTTTGTGTGGAAAATGATTGCAACATTTGGAATATTAAATCAACTTTGAAATTTCTTTGTAGCTGTTTACTTTTTAAAATTAACTAATAATAATTTCCTATCGCTTTAATTATTTTAATAGCATTATTGTTTGGTACTTCAATTTCAATTAACCCTCATGAATAAAGCCGGTCGATTTAAATAAAATATTCCCAACAACTTAAAGTGTAAGTTTCTTGTAAGTCTTATCTACAAAGAAAGCATCCAGATTGGGGAAAAATTCTATAACAGAAAATTCAGTTCGCTTACGAGAACACAATAATCACAGTAATCGTTGATAATTATAATAAATAAGGGTGCAGATCGGCCAGAGGGCCACCTCAGAGCACTTATGTTTACACCGGCCTGCACTTATCCTATTTACGCGTTTAGTCCGCTTCACTTTCCATCGACCATTGAATTTCACGGAACAGGGAAAGCTAATTTAAATATAAATCATATTAAGATCGTCCGATCTCTCGCTTTATGATCACAAATTACAACGAGTCACAGGTAAAGCAGCCGGTTAATAGGGGTTTAACTTTCAATGTAATTTCGATGTATTGGAAAAAAGGGAAATAATCAACGATGTTGCAATGTGTGGGTTGTAAGCAATTCTAATACACGTAAGTAAGTACCTTCCCTAAGCTGCTTCCATTTTAAATCGTGTCGTTTAACGGTGGATAAAAATAATTGATGTTAACTGGAGATTTGATCAATTTAGTTCTCCTTCATTTGCTAAAACATTAAAATTCCTAAATAGCAATTATTTTGGTGAACTTTTTATCATCAACTTAAAATTTCTTCAAGCTAAATGTAAAAATTTCTTATTGAAATAAATTTGAAAGTACTATCATTGCTAATAATCGTGTACGAAGGAAACCTCCGATCGATTATAACAAGATACAAGCAAATCACAGTCTCTGTAAAGTTACCCAACGATCCAGAAGGAAGTTTCTACTGATAAAGCGACTTGAAATTCCTCTGATCTATAAATAAGACGAATTTATTGGAACGAATTCGAAAGTGTTAAAAAATCGTTGTGACAGCGGCTTTAAAGAAGGTGGCCTACGGGTGCTGAAGTGGCCTGTTGCAAATAACACACCATTAGCCCCCGTATGAGCAGGGTGTAATGTTATACATTACGCGTTAATGGCTACGTAGGTATTGCCTCGGAGATCATGCACACGAGTCCGTTGTTCACGGTTACCTGATCGGCATACTAAAAGAACGAAACATAGGCACGGAAATTCTTTCAAAGAGAATTCAAGATGCGAAATCTGTGTCACAGCATCTGTTAGCGAAGAATCTTGCATTCTGCAGCGACCTCTTAAACGGATACGATGAAATTCTAGTTCGATCATTGATCGGTGATCTATGGACTGCAAAGAATTTGGATAAAGAAATCCCCAAAAAATTCTTTATTCGTGCCCGACGAATTTCTAATATATGATAGATTTCGCTCGCGCAGAGATCAAGATGAAAACTACCAAGTTGCGTGAAGTAATTGCATTAGAGAAGACTGTAATTACTCGGTTGGCAAGCAAGACAAATGAATAATTAGTATCAGCATGACTCGCTCGTTGAAGACGTGCCCTACGGCTGCCGCGCCGTAACATTAAGCGTTACTAATTAGGGATAATGAATGACGTAATGAACGTGCAATAAACCATCAACGTACAACTTTTCACGCTGTTGTACTCTCGTAAATTTAATTCAAGGATTTCCCATATTACGATTTTGTATCTGCTACAAAATTAATGAACTACATAATTGGTGCAGTGACACTACAAATTGCAAGAAATTAATCGTACAATGAAAATAACTATGACTGATACGGCACGTTAATAAGGATTATTCAAAGTACGAGTATTTAACGTTTCTTTAATCAAAGCCACGAAAAAAGAAGAATCTCATTAACTCAGGAAGCAAAGGCAGACGAGATGAAAGGTCAGGCAAAAGAAAACTGAGAAACGACAGTACAGAAAACATTCGTGCATCCATGAAGATATGTACGTGAGTCAAGATCGTTAACACGGAACGTCTTCACCCGGAGGAAGCCTGGCGATTATGTCTTCTCGCGGGCGAAAATCATGGAACACGGCGGGCGTCAACGTCTTCCTCGTTTACGAGAGAGGACGTGCCCTCGGGGAGATTTCTTTTCAACTCGTATTCGCACGGCACGAGGCCGCCATTCGTGGCAGCTTCTCACGTTCCTTGGAACGGCCTGTAGATTGTTGCAACGCGTGGTGAGTTTCGGCCACCGAGTGGCGCGATGCATTCCAATGCAAATAACTCTCGCCTCGGGGACGCGGCGTAATCGTCGCAATTTCATGCTTCTCAGAAATGCAACCTGTCCGTCCCTTACTCCTTTTCGCCCCTCTTTCAAGGCTATTCATGTTTCTCTATAAAAAGCAATTGTATCGTTCGACAAACTACCCCCTAATGTTAGTCCAAGTACGAAATTAGGGCGACACGATGAAAGTTTTGACATATTCAAGTTTAACGCTTGTTTGTACGAAACTAATTGCCAACTGGGGAAAATTTATACTCCATATGTACATCTCAAGAAGAAGTGGAGTCACCAAACTATAGAATACAGTTTAGAAACGACCTGTAGAAAAATCTTGATGCATTCTTCGAATGTTTGTGCTCTGCACGTTATTTGTTGAAGAAAATTTTGGTGACACTGCGACGGGAAAAGAATTCACGAGGGATACCTTCGCGTGTGTCCACGCTTTCTGAAAACCCTGTTCATCGCCATGAAAAGGTTGACTTATGGGATGTAAATTACGCAATGGACCAGTAGGAGGTTGAGAGTATCACGTTTCAGCTTGTCGGCAGGTAATCGCTTTTAGTATGCCGTGATCGTGTCTCGCAGGTTGTCTCGTGAAGATGTCGAAACGAGGGTCCATCCAGATGACGGATGGGCATAAAACTTTTAATACGAAACGTGCGCCCAGATTATATAATACACGGTGAAACATTTCGGTTCGATGGACGGTTAAATTAGATTAGAGTCGGTTCCATCGTAAGAGGATCGACCGGCTTGGAAACTGTGATTGTCAGGTACTTTAGAAAACCGTCAAAGGTTCTCTGAAACGAGGAATACTATAAATCTTCAAGTTAATCGTTCCGGGTCTAGCTGCTTCAAGATATCAATGTCATTCTTCTATTCAAAAGGTGCCATATATGTAGTTATCAAATTTTAATATCCAAGTATTGGGTGCTTACAAAAAGTACCAACACTTTGATAGTCCTACTATATACGGCCATTTTCAAAATGATTTAAATCTTGATGATATGTTCGCGAATAATTCGCGAGTTTTTACCATTTGCAACCATTTGCCAGGAAGCACCTACGATGGATAAAAGACTCGGTTAAACACGTGGGATAAAAAGATCGAGGAGTCGTTAATTTCTTGCCACGACATCGCAGCCACGATGCATAACGTATGTACCACCGGAATCGAAGTACCTAATACGACAACAACGACAACGAGGGAACTTAAAATGCTAATGAACGACTCGGTCGACACCGGCCTCGCTGATTCCTCGTCGTCAAGCTCGTCGATGCTTTCACACGTTCAAATTTATCGACATTTAATTCGTCGTTCGATCAGCTGAACCCACTACTGGTCGTCGTTTCACGATCTCACGATGTTCTATGCTAAACGATACCACGTTACCGAGAAAAAATTGATTTAACGAAGATAGAAAAAGGAACCATCGTTTCGTGAACATAAATTCTATAAAAAACTTATAACGTTTCGAATTCGTATTTCGTACTAAAAATTATGATCTTTATTATGAACATTCATCGTGTAGGAATTAAGAGATTTATGCATATATTAAAGATCATTAAAAATTATAAGAGCAATGAAATACTGTAGTTGATACATCAATTTATTAATACTTTGGTTGGATTTTTGTGGTGTAGTGGAAAAGAAATAAATCGTTGTGAAGAATATTTGGAAATTAATTTAAGGATATACGAAGAATTTATAATTAGAAAGGATGTCTCTTTTTTGTATGCAATTAATATCTCTGAACCCTGTAGCTCAACCCTGAACCCATTTATAATTAACCCTGATGCGAGAAACGAAATTTCATTGGTCATACTTTAGTCCTTGGAAAACGGACAATTTGGATTATGGTCATTTTGGACCTTAATTAAGATGTAATTGCACCCGTGTTTGAAATTATGAAATGACCCACAAAATGATGGATTTTGACGAAGAACAATGAAACGAATAAATAAAATTTGATTGCAGGGTGGTCGGTGCAGTGGTGGTCGGGGCAGCCGTTTGCGGCCGTATTCCCGGTCTGGCAAAGAGTCAAAGGGAGCAGTGCAGAAAAGCACCGCACGCGATGCCAGCTGTGGGCGAGGGTGCGGAGCTGGGCCTTCGCGAGTGCCGGCATCAGTTCAGACATCACCGTTGGAACTGTTCCCACGTGGCGAACGATCAGGTCTTCGGCCACGTGGTCGTAGTAGGTAAGGATTGTCCTGTCACCGCGACCAGCCCGCTATTTATTGCGGACCAGCGCGGTATGGCGTTCAACAGTGGCGTTTCTCGTGGCCCTGCCACGCTGTAAACCGCATGAATGCGCTGTAAAAGGAGCCCTACACCTTTTAGCGGCGTACACGGGGTAATGGATGCGAATCGGCAGAGAATTTCGAGCGATACAAACCGACGATCGGCCCTATTCCACGATCACCGTAGCCTATGCTAAGATGAGAAAGCTCATTTACATAGGAATCGTCATCAAAATATGCTTAACTAAAATTTAAATAATTAATGTGATACTATTAACCTAACGTTTCTTTCTTCGCTTCTGATAATCTCTAATCATTCGTTGAACTGTTTAATCGAGGTATACGCACGCGTCCCCATATAAGTGTGCTCACAGACAGGTTACAAAACTATAGAAGATAAATGGCCTCTGTGTCAAGCTAGTGTTTTATTAGCCGGCCGTCTCTCTATCAAACTAATGGTCTTTTCATTAAACATTTCCAACCTTTATCGGGGACCTATTAATTTACATTCTATCGTGGGATTCTTTCTAGCCACTGACCGCGTGCCTAACAGTTAATCACATGCTATTGGAACCGTATTAATAAGTCTTTGAAAGTCGAACATTTTCGGTCTTAAATTATTACTATTCAATGTAACTTTCACGTTTTGACTAAGAAAAAGAATTTAGTTTCTTTTAGACATATTGGTATATGCATTGGCATAAACAATCTGCAGTTTAGTTAGAACTAGCCGCCTGTTCCCATAACTGATAACACGTCACTCTTATCACCCATTCGTCAGAGGACGGAACAATGGTGGAGCGATAACGAGGCCGGTGAACTGTCAGAAAGCTCCAAATTAGGAAGGTACCGTGTAATGGTCGTCCCATGAACGTTGGGACCCACGGGGGTAGAGCTGGTTTCGTTTCGCCGGAATCGCGGACATTTTTACGAGGATTAGGCGTGTTCGCAAAGGAACAGTGGCGCGGTAGCGGATTTTATCGCAGTGGAAATCGACGAAACGAGCCGTCTTCGAGGTAGCAGCGCAACTTCCTACACCCACAAGCGTGCACGCGAACGTAGAAGAAGAAAATGAAGAAGAAGAAGAAGAAGAAGAAGAAGAGTCCGGTTTCTCGTGTTACCGTTTCGTGATGCTGCCGGCTGCACGGCAGCCGCATAATACGCGTATAACTTATGCTCGGCCCGCAGAAGGGACGTCGCAACCTTGTGCCAGGGTTCTCTGATGCGTTCGAGAAGAAAAAAACAGCCGCGAAAAAGTGGAGAGCAGGCGAACCTTGGTACGCGCCCACGCGCGAACTGAACAAATTTCAGACGTGAGAAAGGTTTCGATTTCTCTGTCTTCGGGAAAGGATGCTCGACCGATTGTGTTTCAACGCTTGTCCAACGAGCTTCTACTTTCCTATCTCGCTATTCAAATCCAAATCCTACCAATCGACAAAATCCCCAAAATCCCCAAATTTACTTTCAAATTCTCGTAACGCTCGTTCTTTAACGTCCAGCGATACGTGTCCTCTCTTAATTTCTATGGTGTCCCATGCTTCCGAGTAACTTAATATCAAGCGCGACGGTACGTTACGGCAGGTTACGCAGCGATAAACGGGCAAAGCGATATTTCATTAGGACAAGATAATCCGGATAGTCCAGTGAGCGGAAGCTGACGTGATCCGCTCGCATAAATATCGCTAAATACACCGTATTTGTCATCTCGGCATTAAAAACCATAAGCACGAGACCAGAGGTATACGCTGGTGGCTCGCCATTGATCGTGGATGGTCTTAGGGGAAACAGGAAGGCTGCCCGCACCGCGATTTCTCATGATTAACGGGAAGGATTAAAGCCTCCACGTGGGAAAAATCGAGAAAGCAGAATGCAACTAGTGATTTACGAGCAGCAAAGAATCACCAGCAGTTTGTTACGTAGCGTGTATCTATTCAACCAGGTACAATCGAAGCCTGAAGCTTCTTCGATCCCATGGATAATGTGATTGTTCCTTCAGGATTGATTTCAAAACGATGCTGGACCTTGCCTTAAGGATTTTTTCGAGAGACGAAAATTTTTACTGTTGCACTTGGCTTTGAAGAAAGTAATCAGACGTATATTTAGATAAGAGGAATTTTAAATTGATGCTAGGAATTGAAGATGTATAGAATTGTTTAAGAACCGAGAAGTAAAATTTATAGCACGAATCGAGTATGTTTGAAGCTTTGCATATTTTTCGACATTTCGTAGCGATGCACCCTTTTAAAGAAAGGCACATAATGAGACGATCTATGTTCCTCGATCAAAGGACAATTCGTGTCGATAAATCAGGGTGGTATCGACTTCCAGATACGCTGTCAAGCGTAAGTAGGCAGCCAGTCAAAAGCAAGAAACACACTGGTGGAATATAAAAATAACGAAGCATCATTAGTCGAGTAACAGAGAATTCCAAGAGAAGGCTTTTTTGTACGACCCAACCCACTATGGAGGACCTAAATCTTGGCAAAGATATTCCTGGAACTCGTCGATCTTCTGGAGAATCGAAATCAACGAAAGTCACGGCGGATAGGTAATTAAGAGTATCGGCCCCCGTCGATTGAATTAATAATAGATAATATACCGTCCAGGGAGAGTGGCCTGCGTAATGGATCTCTTAATTACCTCGTTTTGTTTCGACGATTACGGGGGCCGTACGCCCACGATGGTCTCCAAAATTCACGGACCACTCGCGTGAAGAATCCTAATTTATGAAAATATATTCACGAGTGGGTTGCTGTGCTTTCGATTAATTTTTAGGGTCGCTAATTCGATACTTTGATCGGCGATCGACCCTGAAATTTATCAGTTCGCTGATGCGAAAGTGAAGCACGATTATCGTGATCGAATATATCGAATATTCAATGTCATTGAAGCTAATTCTAGTCTCGGTATCGCAGAGATTTTATTATTTTCCAAGATCTTCGAAACTTTTACAAATTTCTGGTTTTTTTCGAATAACGCTTGGAACGATTCGGTTATCATCCCATTGCTATCTATAATGTCCACATTTTCTGGCGGAATTCTTTGGTATCGTGTTCCACGATTCTACCCGCGGTATCGTGGTGATTTCAATGCCGGCATCGGGTATTACAAGTTCAAGCGCGCCCCGTGTTTTCGCGGGACGTGTTAATCGGTCGTTTAATTCGAAAGCACGTTACCGGTACGTGTACGGATTATATCAAGCGCATAATGTGAGCGTTTTAAGAGCCGGAAAATATCTCGAACGCGTATATTGCCGCAGTTAGCTCGAACATGCTGAGCGGCCCCGTTAATTTCACTAATTAAGTTAGCGACCGACCGCCCCTTCATCTTATAAGCGTTATTTATACTTTTTCTTTTTCTCTCTGTTCCTTCTTGCACATCAATTTCTGGCCTTCTTATTTCCCTAGCCACTTCCTTCGACGCAGCTGTGTTATTCTCGTTTCGCCTCGTTTCTCCCCTTGTTTTTCATCCTTTTACATTTGAAAATCATTCCTCTTAAAGCCGATACAACGCCTCTTTTCCTCGATTTTATGCTTACCCGAGACTTTACGAGGATACCTTTCTTAATAAATGTTTACTTGTCCGTGTCGCGAACCGACAGAATTCATAACTCGTTAAAAGCGGAACGACGCGACCGGACAACCGGATGAACGGTCAAGTTTTTGCACGCGAGCCTCACCGTCTGTCATCGATGTACGATCTTTATTTTCAAAGCGATTGGAACAGAGAGACGTATCTAAGTTACTAAAGAATAATTGAAATTACTTGTAACGAGGGTTATATGGAATGTAATACATATGGATGTACAGTAAGCTTCTCTAATAACGATTTCTCTAACGATTATTAGTTTCTAATCGTTTTAATAATATCCCATTGATTTATAAATAAGTACATGCTAACAGTAAAAAGTAATACCTTCTAAAATCTTTCAATCTTCCCGATGTTTTCAACAAAAGGTACGCTGATAGTAAAGACACGAACGATAAGTTTTGATCGGTCTAAAAAACACTGAATCCTCAAAGAGAACAGATCCATTAAAGAAAACGTTTATCAGTGAACAGTATCGAGCGATTTGCATGTTCCTGAGTTTCAACGAGCCAAGAACTGCTTAAAAATTACGACATATCTCGTTCAAGCTTATCTCGCGATAATATCAACTCCATTAGCTAATAAATCCGCGTACATACGGTCTGGCGAGGTGCTAATTTTATTTCACACGTGACAAAGTAATCCGGACCGCACAGGCTCGGAACGATCGAAAATAAACGACAGCAACGCGCGAACCAGAAGAGAAGCAGCAGAAAACGAACAAAAGTGAGGAACAGTCTTCGGATAACGACAAAGAGTTAACGTTCCGCTTCTTATCAATTTCTGGTGAACCCAATGGAAAGACTTTTAGTTTCTCAGCATATCGAACACCCATCCCCTCTTAATCTGACACATTTTTTTTCGTTTTCTGCCTCTTATCCATTTGAAGTAACTGGATTGGCCCACCCTTGACCGATGAACACATTGGATCGTGTGAAATACGTTTCTAAGTTTTACCCTCTCGTACAAAGAGTTTAAATTCCTAATAATTATTTCAAGGCTTTGTATTTGCAAACCGTGTGCAACAAGACATGAAAGAAAAACTCGTAACAGTCATTGACATTAAAGCTGATAAAAATTCACCGCTATCTTCTTCTTAATCGACAAGTCGGTCTGATTAGGAGAGCCCGTACACGTCCGCTTGATATTAAGAGGCAAATCGAGCAGAGAATCTCGATAGCACGAGCGCATAGCCAACGATGATCAAGGCGATTATGAAAATTTCCCAGTTCTTGCAATCAAGCCGCTCTGCGTTGCTCGTGGATTAAATTATGCGAGTCAAACGTAGCAACTTGCAAAGCGAGTAACCACGAACACGAGAGAACTGGTATCGAAGAAAAAGAAAGGAAAAAAGGATAAAAACTTGCTTC